GATAGCCGCATGAGCACAAAATCTGATTGGTCCCATCTGTAACCTCCTTTATCATATAGTCCCGTTCATGGGACACAAAAAAACGATTTCCTTTCCTTTACAACGTTGTTCGTTGTTCTCCTTGTTGGACCGACACAAAGAGACCGGGGAGGCGCAAATCTAGCATGGGAAGTCCTTTCAATAGAGAGGGAGAGGGGCAGGTCATGTACTTCGTACGCGTACACGAAATCATTCGATGTTTGCGCAGGTAAGCGAAGTCCCCGCCTGATTGGCTCGGTTAGTGGCCGAGCTCAAGTAATGCAATGACGTCAATGACTCAGCGCATGTCTCGCTATGAAACAACCTGCATAACGCTTGAAGTTACCATGAGGCATTGAAAGTGCTGGCTTGGAAGCTTGCAAACTGACAGGATAACTCGGACGGCTTGGCCAGCCCGGTGTGGGGGGGGGGCGGTGGGTGAGAGAGTGAGGTCAACCCTCGGCGCGTCTTTTTCCTCTCTAAAAACAATCCGACGCGTTTGAAGCTATCACGGTGCGCTAAAAGTCGTGGCTTGGAGGGTTGCCAACTGACGGGATAACTTGGACACCACAGTCAGCCCAGTGTGTGTCTTGTTGAGTGGAGTGGCATACTGCGGGCTGAGAGTCAGGCTCAATGGCTCCCTTTTAATGTGGCCTTAATGGCGCCTATCTAACGAGGTGTGCTGTTGGTACGCGTATTGAGTGTTGGTCGCGCCAGCCGCTTGCGCCCTCTCCCTCTTCGGTCTTAATGACTTTTGTCTTTACATCGGACACAGGTGTGGGAGTGGTCAGAGAGTGAAGTAGATCCGGCGAATCTACTTTCACTATGATTCAGGTGTAGTCACCGCATCTGCCTCCAGCTTGCTGAAGCTCGTGGTGGACATTGTTGAGAGCGACGGCCGAACTGTCATGTGTTTGTGTCGACTGCCTAACTATTGGACAGAGAGTACGCCTGCAATGGTTCCTTCGGATCGTGAGTCCCTGTGGCCAATAACAGAACTAGATGATTTACCAACCGAAATCATTGCCATGATTAGGGGCTACTATCGGTCTACCACCACACGAGTCCTAGTCCACAGCAATCTCTCTCAATCG